CTCACTCAATCTCACTCAATCTCACTCAATCTCACTCAATCTCACTCAATCTCACTCAATCTCACTCAATCTCACTCAATCTCACTCAATCTCACTCAATCTCACTCAATCTCACTCACTCACTCACTCAATCTCACTCACTCACTCACCCACCCACGCACGTCACCTCACCTCACCTCACCTCACCTCACCTCACCTCACCTCACCTCACCTCAACTCAACTCAACTCAACTCAACTCAACTCAACTCAACTCACTTACTCACTCCCTCACGAAAGGCTGGTCGAAAGCATTCCGGTCCCAGGAAGTGTAGCATGTGGGGTCACATGAACAACCCATTATAGAGTCTTGGGTCTCTTTCAGGGAGCGAGTTTTGCTTCCATTCTTCACAACATGCAGATCTTAGATACCAGTATGCGGTTTGGAATTGGTCCTTTCATATAAGAGAGCCTGGAGTAGAGCCCTTATCACCTGACGGAACACTGAATCACCTGACGCAATGGCTGGGAACATGGTGAACTGGACATCGGATCCGTTGCAAGAAGTCCGTTGCGCGAATGGCCCTGCTGCGGCACCGGGATCCAGACGCTAGCCAGATGCTGTTCTTGGACATGACAGAGGGAGAAGAGACATCTCAAGCTGAAAACATATCCCCATGCGCAACATAAACTAGCAGTGGTAGTATGTTTCAGAAGCTCTTATCACCCCCTTAAAGATGAAACATGAATACTCTTTTGGTCTTTGGGGGTTCTTCAGACACCAATTCCGCACTGCTTGTGTGCATCTCACAAGTGAGGACTCACGCACACCTTGACGCACTGACTAAGGGGGCTTGCGGCTAGTTGAGATCCACTGTGAAATGATGCTTGTCCAATTTAACTCCTTGAGGCGATTCCTAATCACAACTGATCACTTTCAGAATTTTTCATTCGAGCAGATTCGCAGCCAGTGAGAGAGCACAGAAATTGGCGATATCAGGAGTCATGCTTCTTGTTCTGCGCCGTCCGTTGGTACTATGCCTGAAACTGATAATAGTTTTATATCAATCCAATGCATCTTGCAAGAGCCGCAGCTTGCATATATGTCGTGTCTTGCCCCAGCAAATTGTGTACCTGTCCCAGTAAAGGACTTTTCCTCATCGAAATGCATCACACGCATGCAGTAAAATTGTCAGTGACACTGCTTGCAGAGGGCTGTTGGTTGAAAGGCGCACGTTTCGTTTGAGAGCTTGATGGCGAGGCTCAGCTTTGTCACACAAGTGCAGGCCAGACAGTCCACTCTTCCTTGTGTGAAAGCCCTCTCACTCGATCCTGCGCATAAGCAAATACACTGGTCGCGTAAGGGCTGCGCAAGATTCGGCGTAAGCCTGACATTCAAACCGCGCCTTCTCAAGGGCTGTGCGAAGAGCTGTTTATCGCGTCGAGGAACGCAGTTGCTTGTCAATCACTTGCCTGCTGATCTTCGAAGATTCTCTGCAGCCTACCCTGAGGTGCATGGAGTGTCTTGACCCGCTTCCAGATCAACGCCCTGGGTCTCAGTGACTGTTCAATGTCTTCCCACCAGAACACTTTTATGTTCGCGACAGCTTCTTTGTTTTCTGGACTGCAAGTTCCGTGTGTTTGCCCTGAACATTGTTGAAATGAGTGACTGAATGTCATATCGAGGTGCGTAAGCAAAACAGCTATTGGCCACGGCTTCTTTACATGCACCATGTTCGAACATCTATATATATATATCTAACCTATATAGACAGTAAGCAAACCTTCGTCAGTAGGTAGTCAAGTCTTGACTGAGTAATTAAGACAAGGACGTCTTCCAGAGCATGCACGGGCCAAAAGTATGGGCATCACTTGTTGCCAAGACTTTACTGAGTGCGGTTCTTCGTTCAAGCTTGTCGGCAGGCATCAAGACAAGTTGACCGGTTGCAAGGGGGGGGGGCTAGATTGAGTTTGGAACATTTTGGAACTCTGCTTTTGAACCTTAATTTCGTCCGTGACCATCACCTGACCCTTGTGCCACTGGCTCGTAACCTTGGCTACTTCGCTCCGTGAGTGTTTGGCCCAAACGCCAAAAAGTGCTTTGGGAGAGGAATGCTGACAGCAGTTTGGACCAGTGATTGTCCCACATTGGTCATCATTGGTCTACCATTGGTTCGGCGCAAGATGATGACGGCCACATTGCCGAGTTGTAGATTGACTAGATGCGTTTCCAGTGCCTGGACCAAAACTGATCCTATCAGGCTGAGGCTGACTCCTCCGAACAACAGCCTGCGGCTCAAGTTTGTTTTGAGCAACGCCCAAATGGTTTTACAATCCATGGCCATCCATGGCCTATATTTCCAATTCACCGGGCGGGACCTGAGGATTTGTGTCAAAAAGGAAGGTGAGGGAAGGATGGAGCGGCCACGGGCTTTATGCGTCAGCAAGGTCTTGGTAGACGGCACTCCGATGGTCAACAAGTCTCACGCCACAATTAAAGACATGCCTTGAACTGGCGCGGTTGTTGCTTAGTCGATGTAATTCAAAACATTTAAATAATTCATATTGTTCATTTGATACCCATCTCCACGTGGACGCTATAGCCCGTGTTCGCTAGCCCGTGTTCTTGTGGTTCACGAAGGGGCCCAGAGGGCAAGGCCTGTGGGATCGCCTGGATCGTGGTCAGGTCTGAAGGCTCCATACAGTTTCGAGTCTCGAGTGTGTAACTATTCAGTAGCTACTAGGAGCTTCTTCTTACTAGTAGCGATGGCCTCCAACCTAATAGCGATGGCCTCCACCTAGTAGCTTCAGATGTTGAAGCTCTTGACGCAAAACGTCCTCCATCCCAGCTGCCTTGGAGTTGGGAGACTTTTTCTGAAAACACGGTTGCCATAAGTTCGATCGAACATTTTTACCATTTGCTGCCACGCTCCGATCGGCACGCAATCTTTTGAGGGCTTGTGTTTCAAGGAGGGGGTGAGGGTAGGTGAATGACGAAGCCAATCGTCCAAATGTGGCTAAGCAAAACAGCGCAAAACTAAACAGCTATACATGTCCGTGCTAAGCAAAACAGCGCACGTATCCACCGGCACGATGGCTGCTTGCACCTGATGGCCCCATGCTTCGACGCTTTGGCACCGCAGCGAGAAGAGGAGGATCGCACCCGAACGAAGAACGAAGAACCGCAGATGAAGAACGAGGAACCCCCCAAAACCACATGGGTTGAAGGAAAAGGGTCCATGACACCATGTGTACCTCAGAAGGTTGCCTCAGAGAAGTAAGATGAAACTCCTCGTTTGACTCGGTTTTTTTTTTAGTGCTCAGAGTCGCTCGATGGCCGAGCTCGAAGTGGTGGTCGATGACACTCGATGACACTCGAAGAGACACCGAAAGAACCATGAACCGGTCACAGAGCTCGGCGTGGTTTTTAGTCGTCCCATCCAGGGCCCGTGGATGGGGGAAGTTTGGTACCCCGAGCTCTGTGACTGGAAGAAGCATGACTTGTGCGGTGACTTTGGTGGCACTTCTGCAAACACTTTGACTTTGTCTTGCTGACCCTTCAAGCCCTTGTACTCTCAAAGGGTGTTTGAGTCAACTGCTGGCTGGGCCCCAGCTCGAGCACTGCAGGCTTAACCGCCTCAAGCTTGTCCGGAACCTAGAAGAACCCGTGGGTGGCTTTTGTTTTTTCTTCGCAGATCGACAGAGAAGCAGTGGTTTCAACTATATAAACATAATCTGGTGAAGGACGCGGGAAGGACCCGGCACATATCCCAAGTGGTGGACCTGCTTAGCTAAACATGTTTCAGGTCTGGCAGGCTTGGGTGAACATGCATTCATTACTGCCATAGGTTTGAACCAACGAATGTTTTGGCTCAAGTGCCTTGGCTAAAATAGCGTTTGTTCTCTCTTTTTGGGGCGGGACCCTAGAAAGACTAGCTTGGTAGGGAGGAACTCTACACTTGTGGTGGGTCTATCAGGGCGAGACCCTGAACGCCATGGGCGCTCGCGGAATCACCCTTGCCGCCTACACGTGTGCTCAGGTCATCCATGCGGCGGCTTTGTTCGAATTCAAGAACCACCTCGAGGAGCTTGTCCGCGCTGGGAGGGACCTATGCATGGCGGTTGTGGGCTGCGGCAGGCGAAAGTGTTCACCTCGGATACCCGGGGCACCTGTTGTCCATCCGGATGCGGCCGCACCGTGCCGACCCAAGAGGGACTTGGGCGGCGCAAGCGCTACTCCTGGCGATGACCCTGCAAGGCTTACCAAGTCAGTGGCAGAGGTGCGCTGTCCCTACATGCTGGTGCGCTGATGACATGCTGACTCTGCAACCCTGCCACGTCGTGATTGGTTGCGTGTCGCGCTTTATTACCTTACCACTGTGATGGCAACGTTGCTTCATGAGGGTGTCAGGGAGCGAGCTCAGACTATGTGGGCGATTGGCATGCATGAATGAACAGTAGTCATGACCATGAAGGAGGTTCCGCCGGGCTGTCTCTACCTGTCCATGATGTTTATGCAACTGCACTCGTGTTTCAAGACCTTACTGGGTACGGGCACCTGTGGAGCTGTTCCTCAATGCGCACAGCTGGCCGCGCAGTGTCACGCCAGAAGCTGGTTCTTGATTTGGGTATCAAGCCGAACGCATAGCTTGGTCGGGTCTGGGCGGGTTCCCTGCGTCTCATCCATGTCGAGCTGTTGCCCCACGAAGGTCTCATGGAGCGCGCGTGTCTTTTTCGAATGACTTGGCACTGTCGATCCGTTGGTGGAGTCCGACGAAGTGAGCGTCCAATACCGAGTTGGTTTGCACTGTTGGTTTGCACTGTTGGTTGATGAGGGGTCTCATGGCGTGCGCAGGGCTCCTTTCTATTCGAAGGTCGACTTGGTTAGCGCTGAACACTTGGCGCTGTTGCTCTATATGAGGGATCCCATGGAGCCAACATCTGTCCATCTACTCGACGTGCTTGGAGTTCTTGCATCTCCTTGCACCATGCGCAATCTCCTGGAGAATTTCCGAAATTCAGTGAACTTTCACATTTTGTAGTCGCTCATTTCCAGTGCCACTGGCTTGGCGAATTGCTTCACGAGGGGTTTCGTGGAGCGTGCGTCATCGTTCCAGCTCGGCTTGGCCGGAGCTGTTGCTTCAGGAGGGGGTCTCCTGGAGCGTGCATCGCGTAATTCATTCCACACTGGTTGCACTGTTGCTTCATGAGAGGTCTCATGGAGTGGTATATTCAACTTGATTAGCTCGGCTGCTTCATGAGAGGGACTCGTGGAGCGAACATCAGTCAAGTTCGACCTCTTTGCGCTGTTGCCTCATGAGGAGGCTCATGGAGCGTGCGCTTTGTAATCAAACACGGTTTTGTTGGCACTGTTGCTTTCTGAGAGGTCTCATGAAGTTTAATCGGACTGGATTAGCTTGTTTCATGAGGGGACTCATGGAGCGAGCGTCATGGTCCCAGTTCGGCTTGGTCGGCGCTGTTGCTTCAGGAGGGGGTCTCGTGAAGCGTGCGTCGTGCGATTCATTCCCACGCTGGTGGCACTGTTGCTTCATGAGGGGTCTCATGGAGTGGTATATTTAACTTGATGATCTCGGCTGCTTCATGAGGGGGCCTCGTGGAGCGAGCATCAGTCAAGTTCGTCCTCTTTGCGCTGTTGCCTCATGAGGTGTCTCATGGAGCGTGCGCTCTGTATTTCAACACAGTTTTGTTGGCACTGTTGCTTCATGAGGGGTCTCATGAAGTTTGATTGGACTGGATTCGCTCGGTTGTTTCATGAGGGGACTCATGGAGCGAGCGTCATGGTTCC